TTCTTATATCTTGCCTTGAGCTATTTATTATTGATGAGATTCTGTCTCTGTATATAATAATAGACTCACAATCGATGTTAAAATAGGGGAGTATGAGTTCGTCATGCAGGGATTTGTACTAATTCTATCTTTTGATGCAGCATGGAGACCATTATACTGGGAGACAAAAGAATAGGAATCAAAACAAGTGTCCTTGAGGAAAAAGCCACAGCTTGTAACATGCTTTGTTGCTATGCCGATGAGCTAAAAGAAGGATTTTTCCCCTGGATTGATCAGGTTAGTATGGCTAAAGAACTCCAAATTTCATCATTACACGTTTTGTTCGTGGGACTTGGGAGACTAAATCTGTATAATATAGGTTGCACCTACACTGGTTCCTTTGCTGAAATTCTATTTTCACGAAGAAGTCAGAAGAGCAGCTGTGTCAGGTATGTCAGTAAATATATCGTCTATACTCCAATTTATAAATCACAATTCTAATGATTTGGATAACTTTTCTTTCTAGCCATGCCGGAACTAATGCGCTCAGCCAAACTGGCAATAGAACAAGGAAAGGCTCGAGGACACGATCTATCCTATTTGAAGCAGCTTTCTGACTATATTATTCCCGCCATGCTGGAAGCTTTGCATAAAGTTAGTGTATATTCTGTTAAAAACAAAATTCTTTCAGCTTTGATCCATGCATGTCTGATTATTGAATTTCATGTAGGAACCGGATACCGAGATCTGTGTGAGTATGTTGGAAGCCATTAATGAATGCTTGCAGGTAACTTTTTTTGTAATAAAGAGCTTACTTTAAACAATTGCTTGTATTGGAAAGCCTGTAAGACAAAGACGACCGTGTGTTTTTTTCCCTTGTTCAATCGTACTGAGCATAGAGTATCAATACTGATGTTACCTTTTGAGCTGGCCTTATTTTCATCCTTACTTTAGCTTTGGGGTATATGATAGAGAGCTTATTTTGGACAAGTCTTTATTGTGTGCCTCTTAGAGTTAACCTGATCAAAAAACATTATCTTATAACCTGTCACTATAATGCAGATCTCCGGTAATCTTTTGGACGAAGGGAAAATTAGATCCATAGTTGATGAGGTAAAGCAAGTTATGACAGCAAGCTCTAGTAGGAAGCGAGAAAGGGGAGAGAGGGCAAATGCTGAAGACTTTGATGCTGAAGAGGGAGAGCTTATTAAAGAGGAAAATGAGCAAGAGGAGGAAATTTTTGATCAGGTTAGTTTTCTAGGATTCACCCTTGCCAAATTGAAGCTTAATGAAGTGTGTGCTAATCTTAAATGCTCTTTCATACTTGATTTATTGTTTGCGTATAGGTCGGTGAAATATTGGGAACACTGGTTAAGACATTCAAGGCTTCATTTCTGCCTTTCTTCGACGAATTATCGTCTTACTTAACTCCTATGTGGGTAAGTGGCCGTCATCACTCGAGTCTTTTTCTCCAGTACTCCATGATACTTAGTGGAATTGCTATAGTCAAAAGCATCTTTTCTGTTTGTTATAGGCAGAAGCTTGTATATACCCTAACATATAACTGAATTGATATAATCAAAAATGGAAAATTGTGGTAGTTTTCGCACTCTAGTCCAGGTGAATATAGGTTCTTAAATATGTGGTTGTGGGGATGAAGCTGATACAATATTAGTCTTAGTTCGCCTTGTGTTTTCGGTTTTGATAGTGATTGTGGGTTTTGGGATGTGTATTCTTTGATTTAGGGAAGGGATAAAACAGCTGAAGAGAGAAGGATTGCGATATGCATCTTTGATGATGTTGCAGAACAATGCCGTGATGCGGCTTTTAAGTAAGGATGTGCATTCACAGCTGGATCTTTGTACATTGTACATTTTTAGAATTCAGTGTTCTTATGTGGTATTGTCTTTATACTTATTTGGCAGATATTATGATACTTATCTGCCTTTCGTACTGGAAGCGTGCAATGACGAGAGCCCAGAAGTTCGACAGGTACATCCTGCATTTACTTATCTGTTGTTTCTGGAACTGTATACTAATTTATATGAACTCTCTTGTTTGTTTCAGGCTGCCGTTTATGGGCTTGGTGTTTGTGCTGAATTTGGGGGATCTGTATTCAAGCCTCTTGTTGGAGGTATGTTATACATGTGCCACTAGTAGCCTTTCGGGTTTAATCCATGCTTTGCAGTAAGTAGTAAAACATGTTTGTTTGGTTTCAACAGAGGCTCTGTCAAGACTAAATGTTGTGATACAGCAGCCAAATGCTCGGCAATCTGAAAATGCCATGGCATATGATAATGCTGTATCCGCTGTGGGAAAGATCTGCCAATTTCATCGTGACAGTATCGATTGTTCTCAGGTAGCTTATGATAGTTATCAGCAGCTGCTTGCTCTCCGCATAAAAATACATGTGGTTACTTTTGATGATCAACAAGTAAACCTTTTCTTTTTATTATATTAGGTACTTCCTGCGTGGTTGAACTGTTTGCCGATTAGTAATGATGTGATTGAAGCCAAAGTGGTTCATGAGCAGCTCTGTTCAATGGTTGAGAGGTAAAACTATCAAATTGGTTTTGATTCTAATTTTTACGTTCAAATCTATTTGCGTTCCGTGTTACTGGCTGTCTAAAACGGCTGATTGATGATATCAACTTGCAGGCAAGATGTGGACCTTTTAGGCCCCAATAACCAGTATCTTCCAAAAATCTTAACAGTATTTGCTGAGGTTTGTCAATTACGCGTCTCATGAACAGTTTGTCATTCCTTTTGATCTTCTCGTCGTCATAGAAAAATCAATGTGTAATGTATATATTTGGCTGGCCAGGTGCTTACAAGGAAAGATGTGGTGACAGAAGAAACGGCAGGTCGTATGATAAATATAATAAGGCAACTTCAGCAAACACTGCCACCATCGGCATTGGCTTCAGTATGGGCATCATTGAATCCCGAGCAGCAGCTCGCTCTTCAATCTATGCTCTCCTCCTAAACCCATTCCAAATCGGGTCTCATTGTTTATTTACTACACAGTGTCTTGTGATTTATTTGCCACCACAAAGCGTCGTCAGTTTTGCATTTTTTTCACCATTTGTTTTTTGGGGAGGGATGATGAATGGGTCTAATCCTTCATAAGTTATGAAATGACCTTCCATTGTTAAGGGAAGGAGGGTTGTGAAAAGAGTTGTCAATTGGGGAATTTGGGTAATGATTCCCCAAAGACAACAAAGGTTTTGGTGTTGGTGCTGTCTTGGGTTTGGGAGAGATGAAGTTTTTGGTTCTTATACGTGAAACAAAAGGTCTCGATTTTTTGTTTTTTTTGGTATGCAAGTGAGAATTTTGGAGGGATTATTCTTCTCATTGCCATTTGTATTCTTTTGCTTGGCTTTTTTTCAGATTAATAAATTTATCTTTTTATTATTGTTTGGTAAATTTGACGTATAACACACGCAATTTAACCCTACACACGACACTGAGTTCGGATGCACGTGAATTACCGCTTGAAGTTCGTCTCTGCCACGAATTTGAAGTCACTCAATGGTACTTGGACATTTCAAGTACCTAAGCCTAAGCTCCCCTCCTTATACGACTCTGGTTATCGGTTGGTCTTCTTACCAAGTTAAGCCTATCTATCCACTTGACTTCTTTGGCCAAGAAGTTGTGCAGTGGCCCGAACATGGTTAGTTATGCCCTTTGCGTCTTATATACTTGTTGCGCCATGTTCGGAACCAAGAATTCTTCAAGTTTAAATGTTATATCCTTGGGTAGTTAGGTATTCCTCCACATGCGCATCTGTGTCTGCTGTCGTATTGAGGTTCCAGACCCAAATGGAATAAAATAACGCTGCGGAAATGAGGAAGTAGACGTTGGTTGGATTGTAGCACCGGACTTTTCACAATTTTTTGGGTCCCTCTTGCAATCACACAATGTGAACCATCCACAAAATTGTTCAAAATTCAAATGGCGCATTTCATAGAGGATAGATATGCCATGTAACCTGGAATGTATTATAAATTTAACGTCATTAACGTTAGATGAAAGTTTATTTCGATATTGTTTTTTATAGGAACATTGGTTTGATGCAAGTCAAATGTGGTTTATATATTAAATATCTTAAAAATCTGTAAAAAGTCCATAATTGATAAAGGAAGACTGCTCCATTTGATACTTAGTCAAAAAGTTTTGGATTATACAATTAAGACAACACTTATTCACTCTTGATGTTTTCAGGCAAACGTCTTTCAGATAGCTATCTATCAGCGAGTTGCATGTTTCTTAACGCCTCAACAACCACCATCATCGTTTCGGAAGGAGGAAGTGGGTACACTCTTCCATGTCTAGGTTGTGGTGGCGGTGGAGATTTCCTGTAATAGTAGACGTCTTGTAGTTTAGGAGAAAAAGGAAGAGCAACAGGATGACGATAGATCGGAGAATATTGCGGCCGGTAACTTGTCAATAGCTTTCTGCTGTTGTTTCCTTTAGCAGCTGAGATTAAGATTGCCAAGACACAAAAGAGGGTGAGGAAAGACCTTTGGGACACCATTTTCAGGTTAATACTTTGACTACTTCATGCTAAGATTCTTATAGACAAATTATGTGTATATGTCTTGTAAGCTCTCTCTTAGAGGGTTCCCACTAACTTTGAGATTTTATCATAGTTTTTAAGTGTATCTTTTTTTTCTTCAAGAGATTCTCTTGGTTGGTTATGCATTATTAAAAGTCGTTTTAGTTTCTTGGTGAGGCATGCCTCTAAATATCAAGCCTACACATCGCAGAAAATGGTACGCACGTAATGAATACATGGAACCCATAAAACTGAAAGCCTCTGAATCATTCTCAAAGAGTACCTGAGAGCCATAATCATATTCGTATTATCACTAAAATAATAAGAACAAATCTTTAGAAAGACGAGCCACCCACTAAGACTTGCCTCAAAACATACAAGCACAGAAATTTAAAACTTAACTACATCCCTATAAATACTTTTAACATAAATTCGTCTATTTACATATTCATACTCTAAAAAAATGGAAAATAAAACAAATCAAAAGCAGAAAACAAAAGAGAAGAGCAAAAGTAACAACAATAAGACCAAGTTCGTGGGAGTTAGACAAAGGCCTTCAGGTAAATGGGTGGCAGAGATCAAAGACACGACACAAAAGATACGAATGTGGCTTGGAACTTTTGAAACCGCAGAAGAAGCTGCTCGAGCCTACGATGAAGCTGCCTGTCTCCTACGTGGCTCCAATACTCGTACTAATTTCGCAAACCATTTCCCAAACAACTCACAGTTGTCTTTGAAGATCAGAAACCTCCTTCACCAGAAGCAGAGCATGAAACAACAACAACAACAACAACCAAAACAAAACATACCTGTCTCTTCCTTTGCAGAATGCAGCATCAATTACACATCCAATGCTACTACTCTCACCTCCACCACCACCACAGTGATGCCGCTTAATAATGTGTACCGCCCTGATTCATCGGTCATATTACAACCAGAAGCCGACAGTGTCCAGCTTCCTTACACTTGGCCACTTGTGTCCGGATTCAACCATCAGGTTCCATTAACTCAAGGAGGGGAAGAACCACATGGACATCTCAACAATCCAAACTCAACTGATCAACATTTGGGTCTGGCTGACATTGAGAGACAGATATCTGCATCCCTATATGCAATGAATGGAGCTAACAGCTACTATGACAACATGAATACAGAGTATGCGATTTTCGATCCTACTGATCCCATTTGGGATCTCCCTTCACTCTCCCAACTCTTCTGCCCTACATGATCTCATTTTACATTTCCTTTTCAATTCATGTTATTTTGTATCCATGAATGTAAAGTAGAACACATCTCTACTATGTCCTAATAGACAAGACTGTACCTAAAGAAAAAAAAATGGACACTGTAAGAAGATGATGAAGGTTTGGTACAGCAAAAGCTTGACAATGAACTCTAGAACTCTCAACGGTTGTTTTACCAATGAATTGAACCGAGATAAAAACATGAAACACAACGAAAATTGTATAGGACTAAAAAGAAACATGTTACCAACAAGAATCATAAGTAGAAACAGAATCTGAAAAAAACGTTTTAAGTTGCACATTGCTTGAGAGAAGGTGGTCAGTAGTCTTCACCTTCATCTTCTTCATCATCTGCCCCTTCAGCACCCACCTCTTCATAATCTTTCTCCAGTGCGGCCAAGTCTTCACGTGCCTCAGAGAACTCACCTTCCTCCATTCCTTCACCAACGTACCAGTGCACAAACGCCCTCTTCGCATACATGAGATCAAACTTGTGGTCGATCCGTGAAAACACCTCTGCAACTGCAGTGTTGTTGCTGATCATACACACCGCTCTCTGAACCTTAGCGAGGTCACCTCCAGGGACAACTGTTGGGGGCTGGTAGTTGATTCCACATTTGAAACCAGTTGGGCACCTGCAAAACAAAATCGTGTTCACAAAAGCAGCAACATGAAACAATAGCAACTTGTTTCAGTTTGTAAGAACATACCAGTCGACAAACTGAACAGTCCTCTTGGTCTTAATAGTACCAACAGCAGCATTAACATCTTTGGGAACAACATCTCCACGGTACATCAAACAACAAGCCATGTATTTCCCGTGCCTTGGGTCACACTTGGCCATCATGCTAGCCGGTTCAAACACGGCATTAGTGATCTCAGGGATTGACAACTGCTCATGGTAGGCCTTTGCAGCTGAGATGACTGGAGCATAAGACGACAACATGAAATGGATACGGGGATAGGGGACAAGATTGGTCTGGAACTCAGTGATATCCACATTGATGGCTCCATCAAACCTCAACGAGGTTGTCAAGGATGAAATGATCTGGGATATCAACCTGTTTAGGTTAGTGTAGGTAGGCCTCTCGATATCAAGGGATCTGCGGCAAATATCATAGATAGCTTCGTTATCCAAGAGTACAGCTACATCGGTGTGTTCAAGTAGAGAATGTGTTGAGAGAACACTGTTGTAAGGCTCTACAACAGCTGTAGAAACCTGAGATAAAAAAAACGTAACGCATCAAAACCAAAAAAAAAAAAAGAAACATTCAATGTAACTAACTAGTAATGAGTTTCTTTGTACCTGAGGAGAAGGGTAAATGGTGAATCCAAGTTTGGACTTCTTTCCATAATCAACAGACAAACGTTCCAACAAGAGAGACCCCAAACCAGAACCAGTACCACCACCAACAGCATTAAACACCAAAAACCCTTGCAAGCCAGTACAGTTATCCGCAAGCTTCCTCACACGGTCAAGACAAAGATCCACAATCTCCTTCCCAACTGCAAATTACATAACTTTCAAACACCATTTTTTTGAATATTCCACAAGTAAGAATAACAGAGAAAGGAAATAGCTTTTTTTTCTCACCAGTGTAATGCCCTCTAGCAAAGTTGTTAGCAGCATCTTCTTTCCCGGAGATAAGCTGCTCCGGATGGAAAAGCTGCCGGTAAGTTCCGGTACGGACTTCATCAATAACAGTAGGCTCAAGATCAACGAAGACAGCTCTAGGAACATGCTTCCCAGCACCAGTCTCGCTGAAGAAAGTGTTGAAAGCATCATGTGCTACACCAACCGTACTATCACTGCCCAAACACAAAACAAAAGCTATTATTATTATTATTATTATTTAATCTACAATACCCTAAAACCTCTAACAAAATTCTAGTATGCCCCTTTTTAAAAATAGAAATGGAGAAATTAGGTTAGAAGAATGTACCTAGGCATCATACCATCGGGCTGGATCCCATGTTCGAGACAGTAAAGCTCCCAGCACGAGTTTCCAACTTGGATTCCAGCTTGTCCTATGTGTATGCTTATGATCTCCCTCATCTTCTTAGCTCTTGGGAGAAACCCTAATTATTTGATAGTCTTCAGAAGAGGAGGAAGGAGATAGAGCACAGTGAGAGGAAATGAGGCGGCGAGTGAGATCTTCTTTTTTTTATTTTTTGGTTTGGTCAGTTTAGGTTTATATTAATGAATGAATGGGATTTGATAATTTGTTGGGGTCCGCCGAGATGTGCCAGCCTGCCTTGGGTCCTACGGTTTCGCTTTTGTCCGAATATGGATTTTGATTTTGATAATAATTCCCCTCCCATAGGGGTTTTCTTTATAGATTAATTTAAAAAATTATTTGTATTAAGTAACCAACACAATTCTAATACTGATTTTTGATAATGGAATTATAAATTTCAAACTTGCTAACCTCTCTCTCAAGAAAGCTAATGATTTTTTTGTGTGTTATTTAAGGATTTTTAATTATATTTTGTAGGATTTTTCAACAAAGGAAAGGCAGTATCATTTTGGTATCTATCAAATAATAGATACAGTTTTAAATTGAGTTCAGAACATGTGAATTACTTTAGACAAATCACTGAGTTCCATTTGAGTTGTGTGCTTGGAGTGTAGAACAAAAGACTCACACCACGTATGTATACGATATACGACTAAAATTGAGTTGACCATGATGTGAAATGTTGATAATTTAGAGATCACGAGTATTTACAACGAGGAGCCACAAGCATAAAACTAACTAAAAGTCGCCAATAATATTGCTATATCTACTAAACCACATACACTTATGGTTGGAATGGTATAAGGAAACGATCAGGTGTTGAAGCCTATAGTACTCAAAAGTATGAGTCAATGCAAGTCCATGATTCTTTTTTTTGCATGTCAATGATATTAGCCCATCTAATTAGATTTTTAGCAAATATTCATATGTACGTTTATATTTTTATATATATGTCTAACACCAATATAAGGTAACCTTAAAGTTAAAGAGTTGCTCAAGAACTCTTCTTTTCCTTTGCTATTTGTTTAATCTATTTAATTTTGGTGTTCATCATTAATTTTTCTCTTTCATACTTTGCATGATAAATTTCCAGTTTCATTTTAGTAAAAAAAAATTCAAGTTTCTTTTTATTTTCTCTAGTCTGTGTAAGTTTTTGTGGAAGTAGAATAAATTTGTTTACTTCAGGAAACCCATGTTTTGGTTTGTAATTCAGGCATGGAGATATTATTTTGTGTCCTACATTCAGTGATCGTTTTGAACACTAGCGGTGGGTACGAATCAAATAATACCATAATTCTATTTAGTATTTGTAATTTATTTCATATCATACGGATATTTGATTTTCCGATTTATTTTGTTTTAAAGAAAAATAGATATCCGGCTTTCTATATCCGATTTTTTTTAAAATATTTGGAAATATTTACGGAGATCTCAAGCATTTTGTTCAATACAAGTAAAAATAAAAATTTGTTTTCCCAAACTATCTTTTACATAAAAATATAAAAATTCGTGAAACTATTTGTTCCACTAAAATTTTCAAATTAATCATTTATTAGTAAAAGACAAATTTTATAAAATTTTCATATTTATAAAGATTTGATATTCTTTTCTAATTTAATACCTTTATAATTTATTTTATAAATAAAATTAACAAAATGATGTGTTAAAATAATAATTATATAAAGTTATACATTTAAAACTCTGTATTTAGTTATGTATACATATGTTTGTATAAAAGTTGGAATGGATCAGTTATCTGACTTTAAATTTTTAGTATTTGTGATTTGTTTTGTTTTTAGCGGATATTGAATTCTAAAAGATATGATTTACGGATAATTTCTGGATTGAATCAAAACTAATAACAAATCGATTTATAAAATATCCAGCCCTAGTGAACACGATATGTGTTGTTTGCATCTCAAAGGTTACTAAATTGACTCGTTTTAAAATAATGGAGGACGTCTTCAGTAAAAGGCTATTTACCATTGGGTTTCATTGGCCTGGGGTGTAGTTTAATTTTATTTTTTAGAACTTTGGCTGTAGATATTTTTATTTTGAGGTTGATTGGTAAGAACTTGGATGCTATAAAAGTCTATTTTTGTTTCTTAAACCATTTTGAAAAGCAATCATGCTTTAATTTTTTTAAATGAATATAAAAGCATACAATTAGAAATAAACGTGCGCTTTGAAAATCATTTTTTATAGTTTTTATTTAGTATTTTCAATCTTTTTAGAGATATTTCTACAGCAAAACAAATTAAAGTTACAGCTATAAAACTTACGATATAATTTCTAAAACAAAAAAAAAACTTAAATTTACAATACCAACCAATCACACTCTATGATTTTTATTTATTTTTGTTGTGCTTTATTTCTACAGATATTCATATCACTAAATAAAAGATTAAAAAATAAAAAATAAAATTTTTTTTTCTAAAGTTAACATATTTCATTTTCTAATATGATTGATTTAGATTCATTTTTAAGTTAAAGGCTAATTGTTTTATAAAAAAAAATTAGAAAGAAAAATAGATGTCCACAGCTTATATAACCTTTTCCAATCAAATCTTATTAGTTATTACTTGCCTGTCCGTTTGGACATTGGCTTGGTTATATCTTAACTTTGAGGAATTGGTTAAACTTAATCGCTAGTTAATATTAAGGTGTGAATTCACTTCTTTTGTTTTGTCGACGCCCATTTTTCAAGATCAAGTGGTAGACAGTCTTGAAACGTTCTGAAGAGATGTTCTGTCCGACTGAATCTAATCTATATAGGAAAAAAGTACACCGCTAATCTATATGTTAATTCACTTAGCATGCATGCATTAGAGACACCTTTTCATTTATTTATTTCACTATAGAGCACATTGTGCTTGTCACACATTTTCTTATGAAAGAAAAATCTTATGGCTCCTAAAGAAAAAGTAAGAAGTGACTAAACTATTCTGTCTTTTATAATCGTTTGTGTCACTGTTTCTAATAAATTAAAAAAAAATATATATATATATATATAACAAAAATAAACCGATGAACTTGTTGTCATTTTTTTTTTAGCTACAATTTGTTGTCATTATCTATTTTTGTATTTTTTTCTTCGTATGAATTTATCATCAAAACAAATTTTCAAACAACGTGTTTGATACTGTGGACAGGCTTCAAAATTTGCGTTGATTATAATTCAAGAACACCTACCCACATCGCCAATATCACAAGAATCAGTAATCAAACTTAAAAAATGGATATTGATGAACAACAAGAACACCTACCCACATCGCCAATATCACAAGAATCAGTAATCAAACTTAAAAAGTGGATATTGATGAACAAAAGAATTGTGTACAGTTAAAATGTGAATGTGGATAAATAAATTGTTTTATGTTCTAATTGGACTTGTTGTGTCATTCTCTTTGTTTCTTTAAACAATGCAAATAGAAACCTAAGTTCTTGAGATTGATAACAAATTATTAGTCAATCAACGTAGATATACTCAAGCTTCAAAACTCAGGATTTGGTCTTTTTACAACTTAAATAATATTTTCAAATCGAATTTTTTTACTAAAATTAAATTTATTTATCGTAGGGATCTTTGTTCACTTAGAACATATAACAGTTTCTCTATCCACATCCACACTTCAGCTGTCCATAATTCTTTTGTTTTATCAATATCCATGTTTTAAGATCAAAAATCTCCTATCCACATTTTCTATATCTAGACAACATTTTTGTAGAAATATTAAATATAAAAAAAAAATATATATATATATATATATATATATATATATATATATATATATATATATATATATATATATATATATATATCAATATGGATGTCAAAATGTAGAAAATACAAAATATGATTTATAGTAGTAAAATTATTTGTTTTAAATATTTTTACAAGAGAGTATGGACAAAAAGTATATCAAAAGGAGCAATGAACAATAATGATTTTTTAAAAATTAATTATAAGCGGCCCACATCTCTATTATCTGACCTCTCTTTTCTCATCTAGTTACAAATTGACTATTCATATAGAAACAAATCTACTAACCATTATTAAAGGTCTGACTTGACCAAGGACAAAAATGTTACTTCATCTGTTACTTAAAGATACATATTCTAGAAAAAAAAATTATTTCTAAAAGATTCATTTTTTACATTTTCAATGTATATTTTATTAAATAAGTGTAAACTTCAAAAAACTTAATTGCACTAATTGATTTTTGATTGGTTTAAAATTATGGAAAAAGATAAATATAAAAAACTATGCAAATTTATTGTGTTTTATTAAATAGTGTGAAAAAACTAAAATATGGATCTTTTAGGAACATAGGAAGTAAAAAACGTTCTTGGGAACTTGAAATGTGTTCTTCAGAAAATGACTTAAATTGTTAAAAAAAACACAAAAGTGTCTTAAGATGTAAGTCAGTCATTACCATATTCACTTAGCTCTTGGCTCTTCCAGCTATGTTATCGAATCAGTCCACTTAACTAAAGTGATTAACCATCAATCTTTCTATTTATGCTGAGCTGCTAGATAGGTAATCCCGTTGACTAGATAAATTCTTCTTACTTGCTCCAACTTGATCAATTCATATGGCTTTAATTGATCTTTTCCCATTTTCTGAATCATTCGTGTCTTCACCCATTCGATGATTCGATAAGTCAAAATTAAAAAAAAAACGTGAAAACCTTTATTTCAAATTTTGAAGAAACAATTTTATAGCGTCATGAACGAATATTATATGTAAGTTACTCAAATATAGAAAAAAACATTCAAACTCATATAACATGTGCAATCTTTACAGGATAGTCATTCCCGATTTAGCACTTGCAAAATATAGTAATAATATACTCTCAATAAATTGTTAACCCACTTAACCTTTAATTTAACTTATAAATCACGAAAATCGATTTAGTTGGTTAAGTTACATATTCCACCCCAACCAATATCAAAAATCAAAAATTCATAAATCAGATTTCTACCTCAAATCCAATTTTTAACACAACCAAAAATTGGATAAAATAACAAGTAACGGCTAAAGCGGTTCAACCGGTAAATCCGGTTTAATTTTCAGAAGATTCCTAAACCCGGTACGTTAGACAAACCGGGGGGAGGGATAAAAATATCAGAACACGCCAGATCGAATCCCATGTATATTAGCCCTGTTCGGAGAATAGACGCTGCGACTACAGCAAAATAAACGACGCGGAGAATGGTGTGAGCTTAAAAAGCGTTGCCATAGCAGTGAAAAAGTCACCGGAATGAGACGCAACTGACATGCGACTGACGCTGAAATTATAAGCGATCAGTTATGGTTCGGAAACTGCCGCTGCGTCTATTGTTATTAACTCTGCGCGTCACTATACTCCGATCGCTTGTTCGTAAAGCATCAGAAATAAAGAGCTAAAAAGAGACTCTGACGCTAGACGCCGCGTTTATTCTCCGAACAGGGCCCGCTAATAAAAAGAGAAAGATTTATTGTTCAAAGACTACTAGTTCAAAGATCATTAATTTTTTTTTTGAGAAATACATATAATTTTAAAAACTTTTGTTATTCGTAGATTTTAACTTATAACAAAAATAAAATTTCCATTATTTTATCTTACAAAAGAATTTCGTATAACCTAAAGATTGAAATATGATCAAAATACTATTTTAAAAAATATGATAATTCAATCATTATTCAAATTTTGTTGTTCACATTTATTCGAATTACCAACCACAAATTAACTTACAGTGTGCGTCTGTTTCTCTACTGCTGTAGAGGAAAATTTGGATTGACAATCTATTCAAACCAATACAAATGTAGTCCACTTGCGTTTTGGTTTTGTCTAGACGTTTTCTTTGGTTTTTTATAGGCCTTTTATTTTAGTCAAATCATATTTATACAATGGTTCATGTTTTGAGGTTTCAATAATATTTTTGTATCTCTATTTTTTTTGTAACATCTGAAATTTATTGATATCAAATCAATATAACAGATTACATGTATAAATTACAACACACATGTTATTAAGCAAAACATTAAACGGAAAAAATTAACACAATTATTATTATTTTCTATATATCTCGGTTTTATGTATCACACTTATCTTAGGTAAGCTAATTATAATGATTATGAACTTTTTTTTATAAATACTTTGAATGAACTAAAAATATTACAGTAATAATTTTTTTTTACTTAATAATATTTTAGTTAAATAGATTTTTTTACTTTGTAATTTCCACAAACATATATAATTTAAAACATATAGATTATATATGTAATTTTTAAAAGGGGAATATATTTAATTAAATGGTTTAGATATTCTTTACAAATGATAAAATAATATTTTCTTTGAAAAATTATCCTTAAGCACATAACAAATATTTTTAAAATCTATAATGCTGTTGGTGTAGGAACCGGTTCTGGTTTGGAGTCTCGGTTGTTAGCACGTTTGTTTTGCCAAGCAAAATCATCCATTGGAGATATGTTAAACCAGCCAGGTCGTGTAACCTCTTTTATTTTAAAACTTGTTATGCTAATCAAGAGGAGCCAAGTGGGAAAATACCTCCTCGAAAGGCCAAACATGAATAAATTGTTGGTTTTTTCTTTCTTCTTTTTCTCTATAATTGTAACACAGTCAGAAGCCTTATTGCTGAAGAGCTTGTAATATAATGGCATCAAACATTATCAATCTGCAACGTAATATAGCTCTACTGGTCCACTAGCTACTACGGAGTGCAAAATGCCAAAAAGTCACATTTAACAAATAAAAATACAAAAAATGTCAATTCAAAAATTAAGAATTTCATTGGACCCAAAAAAACGAAAATTACCAACAAATTTCGATTTTCATTAACTAGAAAATGAGAAATTGGTTGACAAAAAAAAAAAAAATTAGGAATTGAACTTCTATTTATTTAATGGATTAAATATCTTAAACGAGACTTAAGTGAATGCTTAATAAATACTCACGGATTGATTAATAAAAAAAATAAGAAGCTAAGATTCAGATCTTAAACGAAATAAAAATAAAAACAATCCAAAGGGTTAAGTTCAGTTAGGTGTACTGTTTAATCAAACTACAACTATATAAATAGTCTTAAGCTTAACATCTTCGCTTCCTCTCCACCAAGTGTGTATCTTTCTCCGCCTATCTCTTTCTCTCTCTCTCTGCGGAATCTCTTCTTCTCCTTTGAGCCCCCAAAACACACAAAAGAGAGAGATGGCGGAGGAGAAGAAAGTTGCTCCGATTGGTGTCTGGACTGCCGTCAAGCCTTTCGTCAATGGTGGAGCTTCCGGTATGCTCGCAACTTGCGTTATCCAGCCGATTGATATGATCAAGGTACGATACGAAAGCTCTCAGATCTGGTTTTTCCGTTAACTAGTCGAGTTTCATTTGTGTGTGAGCTCTTGAGATTGATGTTGTTTAAGATGAATTGGTTTAGTTCAGATCTGGATTTTGATTAGAATTAGAATCCTTGGCCTGTGGAGCTGAGTGATGATGTGAATCTAATGAAGTAGTTTTTTTGTGGTGGTGAAGGTGAGGATTCAACTAGGTCAGGGATCTGCAGTGAGTGTGACCAAGAACATGTTGAAGAATGATGGTATTGGGGCTTTCTACCAGGTAAAGCTTACTTCTTTTTTTTAATTCATTAGATCTATTTTTAATGCATTTTAATCTTCATTTTTGATGATGTTAGTGTTTCTGATATTAGAGCTTTTATTAACAGTTACTTATATATGTTCATGTGGTTTGATCTGTAATTTTGTAGATAATGATCTGATAGTTGATTTGCTCATTCTTGCTTATACAACATTAGTCTTTTTTTTTTTTTTATCATTTCTGCTATGAAGATGTCTTCTATGCTTATTAAAAATTTTCAGTTGGGATTGCCTTTTTTTGATGTTTTATGTATCATGTTTTCTGTTCTTGTTCTGGAATTGGTGCTCATGAACAGTTACTTATATGTGTTCCTGTGGTTGATCTGTAGTGTTGTAGATAATGATCTTGTGCTCAATTATTTTCATATCTAACCATGTTTTCTCTGTCTTGCTAATTCAGTATTTTTTTTCTCCATGATGTCAAGATGTCTTTTGAGCTTATTAATTTTCTTTTCAATAGGGATTGTCTGCTGGTTTGTTGAGGCAAGCAACTTACACCACAGCCCGTCTTGGATCCTTCAAGTAAGTTGTGGTTTATCATGAGCCCATCCAGATGAATGTCTCTTTTATGTACTAATGAAGGAGTGGCATTATGGGTTATCAGGATGCTGACTGCAAAAGCAATTGAAGCTAACGATGGGAAGCCGCTACCTCTGTATCAGAAGGCTCTATGTGGTCTGACAGCTGGTGCAATTGGTGCTTGTGTTGGTAGTCCAGCCGATTTAGCGCTTATCAGAATGCAAGCTGACAACACCTTGCCGTTAGCTCAGCGCAGGAACTACACCAATGCTTTCCATGCGCTTTACCGTATTAGCGCTGATGAAGGAGTTTTAGCGCTTTGGAAAGGTTGTGGTCCCACTGTTGTCAGAGCTATGGCTTTGAACATGGGAATGCTTGCTTCTTATGATCAAAGTGCTGAGTACATGAGGGATAATCTCGGTCTTGGGGAGACTTCTACCGTTGTAGGTAAGCTACTCTTCCGAATCACAGTAGTTCTGCACTAGACTTGAACAAGAAGGTCTTATCAGTTTTGTCTTGTGGTGATGTATCCCCCACGTTAATAGGTCTGTGAGTTTGATGATTGTGTGTGATTGTTGTGTCCCTTGTGCAGGAGCAAGTGCTGTTTCAGGTTTCTGCGCTGCGGCTTGCAGTCTTCCATTTGACTTTGTTAAAACTCAGATCCAGAAAATGCAACCTGACGCTCAGGGGAAGTATCCATACACGGGTTCGCTCGACTGTGCAATGCAAACTTTGAAATCAGGAGGACCTCTGAAATTCTATACAGGTTTCCCTGTTTACTGTGTCAGGATTGCCCCTCACGTCATGGTACCATTTCTCCCTTTCTTTTCAGAGCTGTTCTAAGAATCACTTCAAGATTGTCTTTGAGATGGTTGATGATCTTTTTTTTTTTTTTTTTTTTGGCAGATGACATGGATCTTCCTGAACCAGATTACAAAGTTTCAAAAGACCATTGGTCTGTAAGCTTCAAGCTTTGTGAAATGCGCGCCGAGAATAAAGATGAGAACTAAAGCACAATTGGAACTGTGTTAGATTTACTTTTTATTCATATACATGATCACATGCCTTGACGCATTATTGGAGCTGTTTGAGACTTTAATATTTTTGTTGTTGTTGAGGATCGTTGATTGGTTTGGTAAACTTCCTTTTGAAATTTAAACTATAAAGTTACCAATGCAATGAACGAATTTGGAATCGGTTAGGTAGTTAAACATGAAAAGTTGATGTGGGGTTGCAAAAACGTTTAATGACAAAGCTGGTGTCTACATTCATAAAATGTCAAGTGCAAACTGCCAAGTATTTCGTTTAGAAACAGTAAACATTTGCATCAGCAGACGAACTCTCTGCCCCAAAACTCTGCCGATTACAATCCAGTAACACATGTAGCTGTAGTGGACGAAACATTCCTACTTTGGCACAACTTCTTTGTGAGCCTTAAATGATAAGATCACATTCCAAGCCAAAGCCACTACGTTCGAAGCCAGTACCTGCATTTCAAATATAAGATATTGATCGATTCATCATCGGAGGCAGTGAACAAACTTAGAGCAGAATGATGAGAGTATAATAAAATTGAATGTTAAGTTAATTCAAAGAGAAAAACTGGTATAATGTTGTCATTCTAGCTCATTATGTGAAATGTTCGTTTACTATGGACCCGTCTAATAGTTTCTTGCTGGCATATGACGGGATCAAAGAGTACTAAGTAGAAGATTAAGACACTAAAGATAGATTCAGAGTGTGGTCGTCATGTTTCAAGCATGTCTAATCATTCAGTGAGTTGTATATTTAACACTGACGTTTAATGTTGTCACAGAGTTTAATAAAATTAAACCTGGAAGTTTTGTGGAACAAATCTGAAGTTGAGAAACTGAAATGGTATCCATAGCTGCCAATTTGCTAGCACTGCACCAGTCCACTCCTACACAACCACCAATTCATGGATTCAATCAGAATACCGATAAGATAATAGAAAAGTATCAAACTTTGGATTCCTGCAAAATGCTTCCCCACTCTGAGCACTATGCCATAAACATTCTCGTGGTATTTTTTTTTTTAAAAAAGGCTAATTGGAGTTTGATCCAACCTGCTTTAGCTTCGGTATGACATTTGATGGTTTTCCTTCAAGTGTCACAACAGCTGATAAGAAAACTCCAACAAAAACTGGAGCAAAAACAAACTGCAAAACCAAAAAAAAAAACAAGTGGTTTTAACACAAAGGAAGCAAGATAGGAACATAAAGGTTGGTCGGAAAACAGGAAAACTTGCTACCTGGTCCAGTAAAAGTCGCAAAACTGCGCCTGATAATCCGGAAGCTGTCACCACTTTGCTCAAATACAAGTACCTAGAATACGTCAGAGATTTCAGAAAGCAAGTATAAGTAAAGTATCCAACGAATGCATAAGTCTCATCAAATGAACAACCACTTAACAGCGAAGTGATATAGCTTTGAAAGTGTCATAAGAGCACACAAGGAAACAATAAATACAACACACAGAAGGTTAACAAACATATATATCAAGAATAGATGAAAAAAATACCAGAAGTGCAATGCTGGACCGACTAGCCCTAAGCCCAAAATGGTAAACGTGAGTGTCCTCTTCTTGTCCAAAGAAGAAGTCTTATTGATTGTCAGCTGAAACCAAATTCAACAAGAATAAGCAATATTTCCTTTCCAAATAAGAGGCTATATGTGAACACTGAGAACCCAAACTTGGATATACAAGTGCTGAGAATCAAACACAATACCTGACAGATTAAATCACCAATGAGGGTCAAAAGTGCTGATGTCACAGATTTGGTCAAAACAGGATAATCTGAAAGAAGAGCCAAGTACCTGAAGCACCACATAAATCACCAACTAGAACTTCTTCACACAATCAACAATTAGAGATAAGGAGAACGACAAAATAGTTACCATGACAGAAATGACCACTTGTTTCCGTTTCCGCCGCTATCTTCACCTCCACCACCACCGGAACTATCACCACCACCACCTGAACCTCCACCAATACCACCGGAATCACCTGAACCTCCACCTGATACTGAAGAGGCCCGACCCAGATGCCCAAACCCAGTTCTGGAACGACCAGACCAATTGATACGACCAGAACTCAGTGAACAATTTTTGTAACCAACCGAAAGACCCCTGCTTGAACCAGCTCCAGTTATATTCTTTCGATTGTAGTCACCGGAAACACCAAGAGAATTGAACAGAAGTGGTGTTTTCCGGGCGAAAGTGGCGTGGCTAAGCATCATGTCTGGTCTGATACTTTTATGTTTTAGGATATCTGAACGGTGACTGTCGCACTTGGGGGATATGACCATTCTTTGTGGCAATAACATGAAAACGAGCTTCCAATGATTTCTTGGGCCTTTACATGGGCTTTCATTAGTATTGGGCTTCAAGAAGAAGTGCACGGAGAAGTTTAGTCACGAAAACTTAAAATTTGGATTTAAGTTAAAAGCTGGGTTTATGTTTGTGTACAACAGTGTGAGCTTTGAGCTTTGAGTTCAGCATGTTTACACATTGTGATAGCATCATCTCAGTTCACCTTTTAAGAAAAGTGATGCATGCCTTATAGCTCTAGAAACTCTCCATATCTCATGTTGAACATGTTCCCAAGAAGCTTTGGTCTTCACCCTCTTTGCGTTATCTATTGCATCATCAACTCCAGGAAACGATTTTGATCCATAGTCATCATACTTAGATGGTCCGTATACCAAATGCTTGTACCATGTTCTCTCAGAGAGTCCATCTCTGTCTGTTAAAGCGCGCTCCGCCATCATTAATCTGTCATTGAGCTCCCTCACTCTCAACGCTCCCTTTACTCTCTACAATCCAGTAAAACCAGTTTTACTTGTCGATAATTTTTTTTAAAAATGTAGAAACTTATAAACGTTACCTCTTTCTTTATATTGATGCCTTGAGCAGATGTGGACAGATCTTGGATTGATTTGATTAACGGAGACACATCTATGCCATGTCCTAACTTCTCCAAATCTTCAGCACTTTTCTGTTTACACAAGTAGAGACAAACACTAATAAACAGCAACCTATTATAGCTAAGTAACTGTTTTGACCATAAGATAATTTACCTTGAGTTCTGATGCATAGGAGATATAATTGAAAGGTAAGAACTCATCATCTGCTAACCTAAGAGCGACCAAACCTAAAACACTTGCTATTGCAACATGTCGCTGAAACATAGGATCTCCAAATTTTTCCATCCAGGTGAAGTCATCATACATAGAGTGATAAACTGGATAGCCTGTTTTTTTTTTATTTTATTTTAACAATAATTATTCTCTAAATTCTACAAACTCTGTGTTTGTGAGGGGATGATTCAGAGACTTACCTCCTCCGAAAACCATGTCAACTGCTGGAACGCCTACATGTTGCACAAATGATGCGTAATCCGATGCTCCACTTCCTAATCTTCCTATCTTCACATACCAAAAAAGTATACAAACCAGTTTCATCCATAGGCAAAATTGTAATGTTAGAATCTAAACTTAGTGTATTATTCTTCACTTACCTCACCAGAGTTGCTTGATTCTATCCATGACTCATAGACGGTTTGTGTAGTGTTATCTGGATCCCGGACCTACAGATTGTTAATAAAAGAAAAAAGAGAATTTTGCATACGCCACGGGACCAGAAACGTTGCCTGACTTAGCGTAACCGTGGAAAGTAGGCGTGACTTCTTCCGCGTAAGGATTGTCTCCGATACGTTCTTGCTCAAGAGAGAAACTGATGGACTTCGATGATGATTCTTTTGGTGTTGTTAGTGACAGTGAGCGATGAACTGGGTACGTTAGAGATACTTTGTAAGTTACGACGTGGGGTTTGATGGATGAGGAGGAGGTGAAGGCGGAGAGAACGTGTGCTGCCGCTTCGGCGTTGGCTAGTGAACCGGCGATATGAGGGCGGCGGGTGAGGGTGCGGAGGTTTAAGGCGATGGAAGTGTTGTCGGAGAAGGAAGAGGAGAGGAAGAGTGTGTGGTAGTAGTGAGGTTTTGGTGGAGAAGAGATGAGGAAGTAGGAGAAAGCAGCGATTAGGAAGACGAGAGCTGTTTTTGGTAGAGACATCGATGATGGAGTGTTCTTGTTTCTTAGAAGATCATCAGCTTCTGTGCTGGTTTTGTTTTAAGGTTTGACCTTTGCAATTGCAATTATTGATCTTTACAGTATTATATTTAATTTATTGTCATCTTCACTTGCACTAGAGATTATTATTACATTACATTAATCCCTCAACATCATGCTGATTTCTGATATTGGCCACTGGTGTAGCAGGTAAGCTCGGTTCTAAATCTTTAAGAGTAAACAAACACAATAATCTAGAGGGGGGGGGGGTATTTAATATATAGTTCCTCTATATAGTTTGAGGTAAATTTTTTAATGAGATTGTAAATAATTTTAAAGGATTAAAGAGTTTTAAGTGATTATTATTAGTTATTTTAAAATATCACCTAAAACCATGAGATTTGAATTTTAATTTTTTAACTAATAAATTCCACCCAAACACTCTAAAATCCCTTAAAACATTTAAAATATTTTCAATAATAGTGAATTTCATAGTAGTTTATAAAATGTCAAATTCAATAACAGTGAATTTTAAATGATATTTTGAAATTCATGTTTGAATAACACTAGATTTGTTATTTTGATAAAAATTACCTCAAACTCTCAGTTGAATGCATCCCTAGCTGTATGTGAATATCGGTTTAGTTTTCATTTAGACCTTTTTTTGAGTTCGGTTTGGTTTCCGGCTAAAATGCCAAAGTTTAGGTGTGACAAAGATGCTTTATAGAAATAGATTGCAATATGGTTAGTGGCATAAAAATAGTATTAAAAATCAAAAGTTGAGTTATCATATAAGAAGATGAGGTCTATGTGAAAAAAAATTAAAAGTATTTTTATTTTATTGGTAAAATGTACATTATTAATTAGGTAAAAAGAGTGAAAAAAAAATTAAGAAAAGAGTAATGGTTAGAGTTTGATCCACTCAGAGCCGTCGATGAAGCTAAGAGAAATAAAAGGCTTAGCTTCTTCCTCAGTGAGTTCTCTTGCCCAAGCCACCCTCCCTGCATAGTTTGCTCCTGCCCCCGTGCACTTGTACTGTCCATAGAACACCGTCCTGCAACCACATTTCTTTCTTTACATTAATCTTTAAATATATGTAAACTTGTGATCGAGTAATGTTTTATGCCGTATGTATGCATTATGGAGCACTAGAATAGACTATGCACGCCTACGTTAATTGCTTTAAGCTTCAATATTTATATGAGGAATGCACGCGCGCGGGCACAAACTTCAATAAGACAAGAATGAAGTCGGTTGAAAGATGTTGAGTGGTGTAGTGGTGGGGACATAACACTCTAAAATGGATGAGGCAACGAGATCATGTTTTGTAAAGTTGGACTAAAGTTTATATGTTATAGTTCGTTATTTTTTAGTATTTGAACAAGTGTTATCTTCAAAGCCCACCGATTTGATATAGTACGTAGTCTTAAAGAAAAAAGTGTTAGTGTGGTCGAAAGAAAAGTATACGTACATCTCGCGTGAAGGGTCGCCCCAATTGTACCAGCCTTTAGGGAGGATGATGTTGTCCATATAGGTGTAAGCAAAGACGACTCTTGAGAAGGGACCCCATGCCCTCCCAAGGTACAAAACTCCTGTCCCTGTCACCTTACACTTCACGAAAGAGAATCCTGTGTCCTCTAGCACACTGCTCCTCCCTTGCGCCGTCACTGCTCCTAGCTTATCCGCTATCGCGTGCACGTGACACCCCTAGTTAAAACATCACTTTTTAAAGTAAATACTAATCTAAAACTGCTAGTTAAGTACTTTGTAAATGGGTTATGGATCAACATATCTATAGGACAGCTATGAGTTTACCTCATATAGAGAAAGAGCGTTGCCAAAGATGAAGTCAACGGATCCCTCAATGTAACAGTCTTTGTAATAATGCCTTCCTAAATGGTCATAGAGAGTGTCTTGAGCACCAAGCATTTTACACCCAAAAAACGCAGCATTGTCAGCTGACACTCTCAATGCCACCGCTTGTTTTCCAACCGCCCCTGGCAAGGGGACAGGGGTCGTGTTCTGTATAGAGATAAGACCGCTAAGATGGGTTCAAAACTGATCCATCCAAATAAAATGAAAGTCAATAAATATGGTAATGGTATAGCAAGTTACCTTGAAAGTGATGTTCTTGGCGACAAAGAAAGGAGAGTTGACGGCAAAAGAGGCAGAGTTGAATGTGCCCATGGGATTGCCTCTTGGGTCATGCGTTTGTGCTGTGTCTCCCCATTGCACTATTGTATTATCTGCTCCTTCTCCTTCTATTGTTATGAATGCCTTCATTGGAGGTATGTTCACCTTTTCCCTACACCCATTTTTTTCATTAATATATTATTTGCTTAGAATTTTATTATAAATCTTAGAAACAGCTATAGTATGAAATAAACAATACCAAACCATGGACGGTAATCGTGGGATGTCTGTGTATGTGAACCTATGGTACTTTTATAACTCGATAGTACCCAAAATGTCACAATTAAATTCGACTTGTAAGAGACTATATACATAATATATTAACATGTTGTCGAAAAAAAAAATACATAATATATTAACATATATATGTACTCCTCCACCTTTAACATATATTATTATTAAAAAATCCCGGTTTCACGAGATCATATAGTGTTGATTTGAGAGAAACATTGCTACATTCTTTATTAGTTGGCAATACGTGTTTAAACTCTTTAAGTTTCATATTTACTTTTGGCTCATGCAAATGCAAGGAAAATGACGAAGATAAAAAATATGGCCCGTGTCACTTAGAGTGAAAACAAATTGCAAAACTGCAAAATGTATAGAGACAAAACTCCAGTATCTATACGGTTCAGACTGTTGGAATATAGTTACATCCACACATGAAAATAATAAAATAAATAAATAAATCTAAAGATGATGTGGTACCAAGTTGGTATTGATCAATTGCAAAATGTACCACACAAAATTCTTTATATAAACAATATACCTGCAAGATCAACCTAATTAAAGTAACATACTTATAAAAAGACCGACCTAAATATTATTCTGTTGTTTATTCCTCATGGTTAAAAAAGAAACTAAGACGAACTGATTAAACAATGATTAAATAGTATATGTTTTGATTAAATAGTAATTACACCAAACAGAAGCAACCCACCTAATATATAAAGCTCCTTTATAAAAAAAAAAAGAGACTTGTACTTACTTATAAACTCCAGCATGAATTTTGATGACGACACGAACGAGGTTGATGAGAGGGAGAGAATCAATGGCGTCTTGGATTTTAGTGAAGTCACCTTTATTGTGTTTCTTATGAACCGTGAGTGTATACGAAGGGAAGAGTTTGTTCTTGGCTGCCTTGAACACAGAGTGCTTGAGGCTCCCAACGTATCTAACCCATTTCAAGAATTCCTCTTCAGGGTTTTGTGTCTGACTCGTCGAGTTCACAATCTTCTGGTTTCTTGGTCGTAATCGTAGACCTTTGGTGTGGCATTGTGTTTGCGTTGAGCAAAGAAGGATAATGAGAAGGGAGAAGATTAAAATGGGAACTTGGGATGAACTGAATTGGGGCATCTATACGACAAGAATCAATTACAAAATATAAGGTATTTGTTTTTGTTTTTTAGGTTTCGCCAAAGATGCAAAGTACGGCCAATAAATATATGGCTTATGTGAATTCTCAATATGTATGTGTATATATACATGTGTGTGTGTGTTTGTGTTGTTTAGAGAGGTGGTCGAGTGTTTGGTACTTTGGTAATGGTATTAGGTGAAAAGAGACAGAAGAGAAAGAGGTCACGGGGCGGTTCCACTCACATCCACGTAGAATGAGAGGTCTAGCAAAATTCCAAATTTTAAAAACAAGGAGACTCTATTATTTTGTTATAGAAACCCAACCCACGAAGGAAAAAAAAACAATATTTAAAAAAAATCTAACCCACATTGATATTGACTCGTCTTCTTATTATTACACTGCGGAACAAAAAGGTAATCACGAGTTATACCATATGTGAATTCAATTTTATGTAGAGAGTCTATTTAGTCAATGAAAGTTGCATCATGTGTGGAATAGTGAAGAAAGAAGACTAGAGGAGAGGTGTTTCAAAAAAAAAAAAAAGACTAGAGGAGAGATATGTTGAATATGGACAAAAAGTTAAGTTAGTCGATGAGATGAGAGATGGAAGCTAACACAAATTCCATGAAGCTAATATGGCACTAACTTAGTTTCCATCTCATCGGATTAATCATTGGAAACTAAATTGGTTGATGATGACTTAGATGTATTTAAACATTTATTCATTATGTAATCCTAAAAAGATAGGGAATTTTGGGTTTACTAAATATTCTAATATTCGTGAATGAAACACTAAAAACAATTAGTCTCAATTTTTTTTAAAAAATAATTATAATTGTGTAAATGTTACGAAATAATTTTTTTTTCCTTATAACCTATTGTAAACTTTATACAATTTTCTAACTCTTTGTAAAATTATAACTTTCTTATAATTACCAGTTGTTTTTTTTTTAAATTGTGCTATCTTACTCAAAATTCCCAATAAAATTTTCATTAAGAACTTAAAAAGTTTATATGTCGCTGTAGACAATATTCTTTTCTGTTGTATGCATAGCTGCCACAATCCGAAAACATTTATGAACTAAAGGTAAAATATATAGCAAGGATGAAGCTGGTGATGACTCCACTGAGAGGTGCACATTTTAATTCTAGTGTACAGATCACCGAAAAAGTTTTGTACACACAATTAAGCCAAGATGTCAATTTTATTCTATCAATTGCTGTTGTCTTTCAGTGCCCGTGACTCTCTCTTATTTCCTTTCTTGTTGGTTTCTGGTATGACAATACTCTTCTCGTGAACGGTGGTTTCCATCAATGCTCGTTTATTTATTTATATATAATTTCCAAATTATGAGTTGGTCTTGTACCCATGTAACTAAATAGAACTCAAAAGAATAGCCATATGACTTTCCAACTAAGGTGAATTATAATTTTATTTTAGTAAAAACGATCTCATATCCTTACAAGGATTAGCATAGTTGTTGTGTAAATATATTTATAAAAACTCTTGAAAGAGTTTGAGGAAGATGGCAAAATATTACTCCAAAATTTAAATGATATAAATGTCAATATTTTCATGAATAAGTTCAGGTTATAGAGAGAGAGATTAGAAAAGAAGATTGTGAATAGTGTTATAATACTGTGAGATTGCAAAATGTCTGCATGCATATTCAAAAACACTAGAAAATCTATCTTGAAAATTTAGGAGCATTGGCAACAGGGAAAGATAAAGAGACCCATAAACATAAGCAGTTGGAGAGTTACACAATTTATTGCATCTCGTAGATCTAAAACCATTAATGATTTAATATAGTTTAAATATTTTGTGTACTGTTGTTTTATAAGGATTTTTTAGAAAAGTTTTCCAAATATTTGATTAATGAGCGAAAAGAATAACAGTAAGTTTCTTAAAATGTATACTTTGAAAAAGATAACACACTTATATCATAATAAAACTTAAAATATAAATGATACTTAATATAAAACTGAAGAATTTTATAAATAATAGTACTCCCTCTGTTTCAAAATAAGTGTCACTCTAAGCTCGTGCACACGGATTAATGAAACAATTAATTTTGCATATTTCTATATAAAAACACAATTACCCATACACCTAACCATATTTCAACCAATAGAAAAATAAATTACATAATAAAGTTAATAAATTTTGCCTTGAAAACCGAAAACGACACTTATTTTGTGACGAAAAATTTTCTCTACAACGACACTTATTATGAAACGGAGGGAGTATATAATAAGACTTCGAGTTTTGAATTCTTATTTGTATTTCATTAACCAGCCGGTTACACTTTTTTTCTTTCTAAAATAGCATACATTACATGGGATGAAAAATATGAATAAAATTATTTTGTTTTCTGTCACATTGAGATTGAAAAGCTCTCAAAAATACCGATCAGTCCAAGTCAAAAAAGAATTTTTAAAAAAACGCAAAGCATTCGATCAGTTTTAATCAGCAGCGACCGTGACAACGTAAACCAATGGTTCCGTAAGATCATCACCGTTACCTTGCGCTGTAATCACCACATCGACGTTTTCAGTACACGTTAGCTTTCTAGCTCTCTTCGCTTCTCCCTCCCAATCCGTAGTACCCACAACATAAAGCATCATAGCAGCACAGCATATCTGAGCCGCGAACAGACCTATCCAAAGCCCACAAAATCCATACGCGGCCCAAAACGTTAGCCCAACCGCTACAGGCGTTCCAACGAGGTAAAACGCTCCTAGGTTTATGTTGGCCGCTTTAGAAGGCCGTGCCGTGCCTCTTACGACACCGCAACCTACCGTTTGCGGGCAGTTCCCGAGCTCGCAGAGCCCTAGAATAGGCAACGCTGCAGCTGTTAACTTGATGATATCAACGTCGTTTGTGAAGATCCTTCCCCAAACGTCGCTTACACCCCAAGCAAACGCAGAGGCAGTCATGCCCATTACTCCAGCAAAAGAAACTGCTATGATGGCTGATAACCTAGCCGTTTTGGGACGGTTTGAACCTAGCTCGTTACCTACGCGGGTGGAGACGGCAAACCCTAGAGACGACGGGAAAATGTAAAGCAACGACGTCGTTTGAATGAGAATGCCCATTGCGGCAACTGGCGTTTTAGGGTTTACAAGTAAACCACAAAGAACGGTCATTATCTCGTACCACCACCACTCTAGGCATACCCCCACGCAGCTAGGTATCGCGAGACTGATAAGTGGGGTCCAGTCTTTGAAACATTCTGAGCTAGGGCGAGTCCACGTTGGCTCGTGTAGACCTTTGATCCAAACGTGGACCACAAGGAACACAACAACGAAGAGGTTTGAAGCTGCTGCAGCCATTGAAACACCGACGAAACCTAACCCTAGGTAAGAAACGAGGAGGAAGTTCATGGGTATGTGGAAGATGGTGCCGGCTAGGGTTGCGATCGTTAACGGGCTTGTGATGCCTTGTGCACGAAGGTATATACGAAGAGGATGAAGAATAGAGTTGGTGAGAAGGTCAGGAATAGAGCATAGTATATACGTTTGAGCCAACGATGAGATACTTGGATCTTGATGAAGAGAGATCATGATCTTTCCCAAGTTGAGCCATAGAGTGACGATCACAAGCGAACTTGTGAGCAAGAACAGCACGGTTCTTTGGAGAGTTAGTGAGAGGAGTTTTGGCTTCCCGGCTCCAAAGGCTTGAGAGCAGAGAGGGTCCATGCCGAGTGCAAGGCCCGCGAGGACTGAGTATCCAGTGATGTTGGCGAAGGCAATGGCCAAGGAGCCACCAGCGAGCTCTAGTTCACCGATATGACCTAGGAAGAGCATGGAGATGGCTGAGCGAGCGTAGAGGATGAGTGCGGCCAAGATTGTGGGAAAGGCTAAGGAGAATAGAGACTTTGCTTCAGCTTTAAGCTCGGAGATTGGAGGGAAAGTTTTGGTAGGGTTTTGCTTTTCCAAGTCAATCTTCGATAGAAGATCTGTGTGACTTGAGGATTCCATTATACTCTTTGGAATGTAGCACAATGACAGGTTTTAGAATATTAGTAGATAAGATTAGTTGCTGATGTCTAGAGCATAACTTTTCCGGTTATATATATACACACCAGTAGACCTAAATGGTCGTCACGTCACCAATGCCAGGAATGCTAACAACAATCTTTGATCCTGGATTTTATTGAATTACAATATAAAAGTCAAATATTTATCTAAAGAGTGTTTAATGTTTTAGTGTTTTCAGAGCATGTCTGAGATGAAAGTTTCTCAAAGATATAAAATGTAGACACTTTTCGGTAATTCAGTTAAACAGTTAAATTTTAGTTTATCTTTTAAAAGTTAGCAAGCCACAGAGACACACATATCCCCTATATATTAATCATAGAGCATGACAACATTTTTTTTGTAGTCATGTGTCACAATGAGAATGATTTTTATAACTCTTAGAGAAATATGTTGGTTCTACTAAACATATGTTATATTTTTATTAAACTAATTATAATATTTAAATAGTAGTGTACAAAAGAATATTCTATATTCTTTCTTTAAATAAAAATTACGAAATTACCTAATATGATTAACATATATAGCACAATCAATGTTTATGAATCTATACTATTATTTAAGAAGTAAATTTGCTTAGTTGTCATGTTCTCCATAAGTTTAGGCAATTTTGTTTATTTTGTTTATTTATCATATTTTTAATATTTATATATAATTTATTTATAACTAACAAATTTATATTAATAATTTTATATTTTTATAAAATAAGATAATTCTTATGTATTGTAGTTATGTTGAAAATATATTTTCGTATTATAAAACTTTAAATTAAGATAAAAAATTTATATTATTAATAATTAAATATAAATCATCAAAACAATTATTTGAAAAGTAAATTTGTTGATTTGTCTCCATGATCCTAAGTAATTTTGATCATCTATTGGAATTTCTCTAATTTTGTTTATTAAGATTATATAATTAACACAAATTTATATTAATAATATGATATTTTAAAAATAAGTTATTTCTTATGTATTATGTTGTTATCTTGAAAATATTTTTTCTCTTATAAAATTTAAAATTCTTATATATTTTTT